CCAACAATGTTGGAGTGCTTAAAAATTTTACTCTCTAAATTTATATATGTTCTCTACATTGTAAAATACCCTTTTAAAAATAGAGAGTTTCTAAAAGTCTACACTAATTGTCGACAAATCTCGACGCTTATAGAAAATTAGTTTATTGAAGAGTTCTAATTATTTCCTCTTATCTTAATTTGGATATACAAGTGGGAGGGGTGTATGTAAATGAGATAATAATCTGATAAAAAGAGGTGGGTGGGTGTGGGCTGGGTTGGGGTGGGTAATGATGAAATGGACATATGAATTTATATAATACTAGTAATAGTTGAATCACTATATCTAATGACTAACTCTAAACACAGGTTAGCATAGAGAATTCATAGTATACTATTAAACTATCAATTATTTGTTGAATAATTGAATTTCTTGACTTCTTCTTGCTTCATTTTGGCATGAATGTATCAATCAAGATAAAGACATGAGGCAAGAAAGGAGAGAAATGAAAGAATGAACGAAGATGATACTTCAGATTTGATGAAATTAATTATTAAATGAAATTTATATTTGAATAAATCTTCTACTTTTAAATAAAAAATCACGTGATTTGTTCAAAGGTTCTTTAGGTTAAATTTACTTATTTACTCGTAAGTAAACTTTTTAAGTTGAGCCGAACATGTTGTGAAATGACATTTCACCATTATGCAAAAAGGGACACCGGAAGAATAATTTTTGAGATTGAGTTCTTTCATTTACGCCTAAGTCTGTTATTTATAGTGAAAACTATCAATAATCGCCCTATGTAGCACACACATGACAATTTGTCATTTGATGCATTAATATGATAGTTTTTTATTACCTTATACATCAAATAACAAATTGTCACATGTATGTTATATAAGACGACTATTGGTAGTTTTCACTATAAATGTCATTATTCAAAATTAAAGTCTTTTTTTTTTAATGCAAAAACTCCCCAAAGTATATCCAAAATATATTACTTCCAAGTAGATTTTCGTCCCTTAGTCGCTCTTATTAAATTAATCTAACCAGTGAGATGGGCTTGTACCACGTTTTCACCCGACTATTTGGTTATATGTGATCAATAAATAACTTACTTTATTTATCAAAGTTAAATATAAGTAAATTAATACTTATAAAACATAATTATTGTAACTTAAATATATGAGAAAAGTAAGTTATGCACAAATTTATGTAAATAAAAAATAAATAACATATAAAATAAGTAGATTTTTTAAAATCAAAGTTAAACACGAGTTAGGCATTCATTGTGAAAATAACATAAAAAGCAACTTTTACTTATAAATGAATAATTTTTCCAATAATCAAAGTTTAAACGTGGTAAATTACTCATTTTGATACTAACACAAGAGTTGCTTTTAAAAGTAACTATTTTTAGATAATGATTAATTAAATCAAATTTTCTATACATTGAATCTCATTTTCCAAATCTTCCGAACGATCTTATTCATGACGTGTTTGGCATTTAGTTCCAAACAGAGTTGCCAAATCGATTAGACACTTTGAATTAAATTTCAACGTAGTCAAATCGATTAGACGCTTTGAATTAAATTTTAACATTGTCAAATGTTTACTGTTGTATTTGTCTTACCAAATGTGTCATCATAATCAACATTTCAATCATGATTTCGTGCTAGCGTTTTTCAAAAGTTTCTGATTTTTTAACGCGTTTACAACACATGATTATAAGTAAGATTATCGACAAATTAATTACTTGCACTTAATTATGAATAACCTATTTTACTTAATATGACATTTGTGTAAGATTTTTAAATTTTAGATGTTTAAAATGTTAAAGACAATGTTGATTATAGCAAATAAATTGCACAACTATTCTATCAAACTTCTACTATATACTTGTTACATGACATTCATTACCAAAATAAATATACTCATTCTGTCCCAATTATATAGGTTAAGTTTCATTTTCTCTTATTCCAAATATATATGTATGTTTTCTAATGTAGAATATTTTGTCGTATTCCTTTATCAATATGTCCTTATTAAATTTTTCCCACCTAATATGCCAACTTCTTGAATCATCTAAATACGCATATTTCCCGCTTCTCGAAAACATGGAATAACTCTCATTTCTTTTTTTTCTTCTTTATTAATTTTAACAATAATTCAGTTTTACATATTGAAAATTAAATATGGGTAAATTAGGAAAGATCTTGACAAAAAATAATTTTTCAATGACATTAATGGAACTTTCTTAATCCGTGTGAAAAACGAAAGCCTATATAATTGGGACAAATGGAGTATCAATTATCAGAAATTATTTAATAAACAATAGCTATTAATTTGTTGTCCATAAGCATATATATATTTTAGCCTTTTCGCTATCGAAATTAATTCAACTTTTTTTAATTTTTTTTTATCGTAGTGTAATTTTAATTTTATGCCGTGTCTTAACTCTTTTAGTTGTTAAGCACTTATTTCTTTTATGGTTACTGTTTACAAGCCGTGAGCTGAGCCGAGCCAAATGGCTTTACGGCTCGGCTGGCTCGGCTTACTTCTTCTTTTTTGTTAGTTTTGTTTACAGCCGAGCCAAATGGCTCGACTCAACTAACTTTTTTTTTTTTACATTTGATTCAGTATTTTAAGTTACAGATATTCGTTTTAATCGATTTAAATTTTGTTGAAAATGTTGAAGTGCGGCCATAATAAATATATGATCAATAA